TCCTGAAACCATCTTCAGGCGATGGGTGCAGACCCACTGGCCATGGATGCTGGAGGCAGGGAAGTGCCACCTGCCCACTCCCTCCTTGAGTGAGGGACAGAGCCCGATTCTGGACGGCATGAGCAGCCCCCTTCCCTCAGATGTGTCACCCTCAGGCCTCTGTGAGCCCTTCCCTGTTCTGTATCCACCCTGACCCTCCATCTCTCTGTTCCAGCACTGTGTGTCTTGCTGACTCTGTTGGAAGATGGACTCCAGAACACCAGGGGTGAGTCTGCTGGGAGTAACTCAGTCCACAGCCAGAGTCCCAACTGCCACCTGCACCTCTCAGCCCAGGCAGGAGAAAGGCCTGGTGCAGGGGAAGCTCAGGGTCACCCTTCCCATCACCCCTTCCCAGCCCCTGGCTCAACCTTCATCTTCTGACTAGTTTCCATCCCCACAGCCTTGGCCACCATGGACTGTGCCTCGTGGTGCCCTCCACACTCCACATGTGTCAACGCCACTACCTGTCGCTGCCATCCAGGATTCGCCTCTTCTGGGGAGGTCGTCACCAGCATCTTGGAGAGTTGTGATGGTACAGAGGCTTGGGGTGGTGGAGGGCCACATAGATACGGGGGTGGTGGTTAGGGGCCTCGGCCTTTGTTCTCAGACTGTTATCAGGGTCAGAAAAAAGAGAAAGAGAAGGATGTGAAGGTAAAAAATGAGAAGTGAATAAACATGGCTTTGTAGAGAGACAGGTGCTGGGTCTCCAGGAGTCTGGGATCTGTGCCCCAGTAGCCCTTCCAGGACTGAGGAGGGGGATGCAGAGATTCCACCCACCCACCACTTCAGTATTTCCTCCTGTATCAAAATCCAGAGTGACAGGGTGAAAGCTGAGAAGAGCAATCTGATTGAGTGGCTTTCAGGAATGGCTTGCTCTAGCCACAGCCCAGCTGCAGCAGTGTTGCCTGAGAGTCTGATTCTTTCCCCAAAAGATGCTGATTAAGTATCAGGCTCCAAGCTAGGTGGGGGATCGGGTTTTTGGTTCTGGGGGCACTCATGCCTTTGGAAGGTGACCCTTTATCCTGTTTTGTTCCAGACATCAACGAATGCAAACCACCTTTGACAGTGTCCTGTGGAAAATTCGCAGACTGCCAGAATACGGAGGGGAGCTACTACTGCACATGCAGCCCAGGATACGAGCTTATTTCTGGGGCAACAAAATTCAGTAATGAGAGTGAGAACACGTGCCAAGGTAAGAATAACTCGCATCTTCCATCTCCCCATCCAGTCCATGAGGTTTGGAGTCAGCAGAGCCACTCCTGCAGCACGCAGGGTGCAGGGCCCTGGTTGCAGGTGCTGCTCCCAGTATGAGTGGGGACAACTGTGCCTGTGCCTGTCCCACTAGCAGAGAGGCAGGATAGCATGAGAGCCAGGGACCCAAATCCTGGCTTTGCTACCTGACAGCTGTGTATGCGACACCAGCCAGGACACTGACTCAGAAATCACTGGTAATATGATGTGATAATATGATTGTGATTTTGTGTTTAAAAAAACAAAGAGTGCCTACCTTTTAAAGACAAAAACAAAAGTAGCTTTGTCTTTTGTTGCTGTATAACCTTGGGCACATTCTTCACCTCTGTTTTCCACCGTTTACTCATCAGTAAAAGAGCGACAATGACGCTTACATCACAGAGTTTCTGGGGAGGTATATGAGATCACAGAGCACAGCACAGTGGAGGCTGTAGGGTATTTAGATTACAGTCATCATAATCTAAGTCACCACCTCCAGGTTGCACATCCCTGGGGACTGCCCCATGGTGGCTGCTCAGAGAGCAGCTGGCCCATCTGTTCCCTCACCAGGGACCCAGGAGGATCCAGGCCTCCATGCATCACCAGGCACTGCCCCCTTTCAGGGGGAGCAGACAGACAGGGAAAGGGCTTCAGGCAACCCCAGGGGCAGGTGGGGCCAGCAGTGGTCAGGCAGAAGCCAGGACTCACCTCGAGAGAGGGGTTAGTGCAGAATACAGAGAGAGGGGAGGAGGAGGCTGAGCCCAGGATCCTGGAGGACTCTGAGCAGACCCAACCTGCTGCTGGGAGAAGAATCCCAAACCAGGGCCCCACCCACATCCCTCATGCACCTGCATGGAGCCCAGTGGTAGGGCTCCACCCACTGTACTGCTGGTCCACAGGGGCATATGTGGGTGAACATTGTGCCCAAAATATGTAGCCTGGCGAGAGGGCAGAGCCTTCATGTGAATTGAAATACAGTCCCTCTTCCCCAGGTGAACTCTGTGTTTGGGGAATGGACAGTGAGCTGCTGTTAGCCCCCATTTGCCTCCTTTGCTGGACACCCTTGTGCAGAGAGCAAGCCATTCAGTGTGCCTGGACCACCGCAAGCCCTGCACACGGTGGTGGCTGTGGCACTGAGGAGACGAGCTGCTGTGTTAGAAACAGGCCAGGCCGAGAGACAGGGCTGGAGCTGCTCGCAGAGACATGGCTGAACAGAGTGAGGTGGGAGAGGTGGGTCCTCAGGGAGAGAGCAGCCTGCTGGTCTGCTCAGGACCTGCCACCTGAAGACCGAGCTTTGTGACAGGCTCAGCTGGGCCGTCTGTGCACCTGCCCACCTCAGCTCTCCAGCCTCGCCGCTCCTGAGGACGCGTCTGCTCGCGTCATGGCCCACGAGGTCTGCTTTGAGCAGCTGACCCAGGCCACTTCCTGCCTGCTTGTCCCACATGCTTCAGGCATCAAAGGGCCATCCCAGGCACCTGTCTGGTCTCCCAACCCTCTCTGAACCCCAAGTCTCAGAACCCTCTGCAGAGGCCATTTCCAGAAGGTCGGAATGTCTTCACTGCAACCTGGCACCTTATTGAATAACACAAAGAGGGTGGTGGCTTTCAAGATACTTCGGGAGCTCACAGCGCAGAGCGTTCCAGAGCAGTATCGCCCTCCACCATCACCAGTGACTGCTGGGCCGAGACCTGACACCACCGGAGCCCACACAGGATCAGCAGAGCCAGGAGCCCTCTCAGACCCCCGGGCCATGATGGACCCAGAGACCCTGTCAAGAATATTGGGGGAAGAAAGATTCAGAAGGGAGAGCTGGCAGGAAGAACTTGGGCCACTCTGGCCCCATCTGGACAACAGAGCATCTAGACCACCATGCTTACCCCATAGGACAGCTCCATGTGGATTAGAAAAGACTCCCACTCACCTGAGAGAAGGCAGTGGGGCCTTCCAGATGCTTCTATGCCAGTAAATGTGGCTGACTCCCAGCCCTGAAGGCATCCACCACCCTCTCCTTCCCCTTGCAGATATGGACGAATGTCAGCAGAACCCTGTGATCTGTAAGAGCCGCCGCATCTGTGTCAACCCCCAGGGCAGCAACGCCTGCAAGTGCCCACCAGGGTTTGAGCTCAACCCAAAGTACCCGAAGGTGTGCCAAGGTAGAGGCCCAGGGTGAAACTGAGGTGGGGATGGGGCTGGGGAAGGAGCTGAGGCAGGTGTCACAGCCCCAGGAGGCAGGGGAAGATTCTCAGGTTCCGGAATGCCAAGGGCCTGCCAAGGCCTTGCCTAAGGATTCACCTCCCTGACAGTCCTGCCACAGAGCTGGGAGATGGCAGGGTCTTCTGGGCCCTGGGTTTCCTTGTGGAGCCCCAGTGAGCATCCCAGACCCTTCCCCTTCCTCATCTGTCACATGCAGCAGTGGGAGGTATCATTTCTGATTCTCAGAAAATGAACTTGGGTCAGGGTCCAGAAGGGAGTAGGGAGGAGTCCTTGGTCAGGAAGCTGAGCCTCTGTGACTCAGTTTCCCTCCTGGGTTTGCCACCTGTAAACTGGAGACTATGTTCCCTGGCATGTACATCCTGCAGGGAGACCACCATTAGGTGCTTTGAGGGTGAAGGTGAAGGTCACCAGATGGTGGCATGTGTGGGGTTCTTAGTGCTGGGCAATGAGAAGTGGGTGCAGGGAGTGGAGGGTGGGTCTGACACTCTGGCTTTGTTTTCAGATGTGGATGATTGTACCTTGGGGAAATACCCCTGCCACAAATCCACCCAGTGCCTCAACATCGTGGGCAGCTATGAGTGCCGCTGCCGCCCTGGCTGGAAGCCGATTTTTGGGTCCCCCAATGGCCCACAGAATACCATCTGTGAAGGTTTGGAGTTCAGATCCCACACGTCCCAGAACCCACAACTGAAAGCATCTGATCACATATTCAATGTCACCCACACCAACCCAGCAGAATGAATGCTGGGCGTGCCCTGCTGTGCCAGGCTTTAATTGTTTTAAGGCTAAATAGGAAAAGATCTGGGGGGGTCCTAGGGAAGAAGCAGGGGTACCAAGGGGAAGGCTTCTGGGGGACCCCATGCAGCGACTAATTACTAACAAGGAAAACAATTATTTCAGATATTATCATTTCTATTATTATTATTTTGGTTAATCCTCACCCAGGATATTTTTCTACTCATTTTTTGTTTTTAGAGAGAGTGGGAAGGAGGAAGAGAGAGAGAAATATCGATGTGAGACAGACACATTGATTGGTTGTCTCCCACATGGCCCTGGGGGCCTGGGATCAAACCTGCTATCCAGGTATGTACCCTTGACCGTGAATTGGACCCACAACCCATCGGTGTATGGGTTTGGACAACGGTTATTTCCATATCTGGCCAGGGTTGGACAATGGTTTTTTCCATGTCTCACACCCTGTACATCAGTAAGGGCTCACCTGCTATGTGTCAGGCCTCTGCACGCTTCCCATAACCCTGTGTCCTCCACTCAGGGATGTGCAGTCACCAGGTGTCGTCACCTCCTAGCAAGGGGTCGGTGTGGGGGGCACTAACATGGGGAATGGGGTGGGGCATGGAGACGAGAGGGGCCCTGGATTCCTGAATAAACGAAGGATTACCCAGTGTGAAGGTACCTGGCAGGACCCTAGACCCTGCCTCCAACACACTCACACATCTCACACCTAATGAACAGCTGTTCTGTCCCCAGAGGAGATCTCCTTCCCCACCTGGACCCCGCCCCCTGGAATCAACAGCTCGGTGAGTGACTCCAGCAGGAACTAGAAGGCAAGATCCCTCTACACAGCCGAAAGTCCACACATTTACCCCATGCTCCCTCACCCAGGAACGAGGCTTTCAGACCCCTCATCTCCTCTCTCCTCAGAGTCTCTCCCAATTCTATAAAAGAGTCCAGGATCTGCGCAGAAACTTCAGTCCTGCCAGAGCCCAGAACACCATCCAGGTAAGGACAGGACCCAGGGAAGACAGGTAGAGGCATCCCATAGAGGCCTCCAGAACCCTATTCTGGGAGGAGACAGACCCCAACACAATGGTGCCCTGCTCTGAGGCCCCACCTGTCCCAGGGTGGGTGGGATGAGCACACAGCAATTATTTGTTCTCACGGTTAGACCTACAACATCTACTAAAACTTTCCTCTTGTTTTTGGTCTGAGATCTTACATTGTCCTTGGTATACATGAACAGGGTTGACCTCTGAGTGGCTGTATTGCATATCAAAGACCCAGGGAATCTCATCCGGTACCATGTGTGTCCCCAAATAGACAGGTTGAGGGTCTGTTCTCTGTGGCTGAGTAGCCAGGGTGTTCCTGAAGCCCCTTGTCTGAAGATCCACTGGTTCTGTGCCCATCCCCCCAGGGCATCATAAAGGTGGTAGATGAGCTGCTGGAGACCCCGGGGGACTTGGATACCCTGCCCCGCTCAGACCAGCACTGTGTGGCCACTAACCTGCTCACTGGCCTTGAAGATGTCCTCAGAGAGCTGAGCAAGGCCCTGCCCCGTAGGCCATGGCACTTTCCTGCAGCTGGCGGAACAGGTAAGTGGCCCAGTCTGGCCCCAGGCTCTGCTCTGCCTGCTCTCACCTCATTCCTCTTCCAGTCACACGAGAGCTGAGTGATCACACTTGCACCGCCATGTTACTCTCATAAACATATTAAATTACAAGGTTAAAAGAAAATGAAAAAAAATTGTTAATACTACACATTTTCATTGTAATATAAATTACCAGCAGATGAAATAATTATACTTAATATTTTAAGATAAAATAGAAATGGCTTCCAAAGAAAACAAATTATAAAATTTGGAGGACTATAACTGAGTTTTACCTGATGTTTAAGTTATTTGTTTTATTAAGGCAAATTTCACATAATGTAAAATCCACCATTTCAACCAAAGTGTAAAATTCAGTGGCATTTAGTACATTCACAGAAGTGTATAAGCATCACCTCTATTTGTAAAATATTTTCATCACCCTGGAAGTGAACACTGTACCTACTAAGCAGTTACTTCTCATTTCTCCATCTCTTGGCCCTTGGCAGGCACTTATATCTTTCTGTGTCTATGAATTTGCCAATTCTCTACATTTCATAGAAATGGAATCATACAATATATGATGTCATAGTTAAGCAGCTTTCTCTTAGTATAATGTTTTCAAGGTTCATCCACTTGGTAACATATATTATCTTTGTTTCCTTTTCATGGTCAAATAATATTCCATTACATGTATACACCACTTTTTATTTATCCATTCATCCATTTATGGACATGGGATTGTTGCCACCCTTTCACTATTGTGAATAGAGTTACTATAAATATTGGTGTACAAGTTTTTATTTGAATAACTGTTTCAGTTCTTTGGGTTTATATGTAGGAGTCATATCACTGAGTGATATGGTAATTATATGCTCAACATTTAGGAACGATCAAACGATTTTTTCAAAATGGCTGCACCATTGTCCATACACCCCCAGCAATGTGCAAGGGTTCCAATCTTCACATTCTCAGCAAGGCTCATTAATTCCATTTTATATCTGTTTTATTATAGGCTTTCTAGTGTATGTCAGGTGACATCTCATTATGGTTTTGATTTGCACTTCCCTAATGACTAATGATTTTTTATATCTTTCTATGGGATTGTTGAACATTTGTGTATCTTTTTCAGGGAAACATCTATTCAAGTCCTTTGCCTATTTTTTAATTGAGTCATTTGGCTTTGTCTTGTTCAGCTTTCAGTTTTCTTTATATATTTGATAGTAGACCCTTATGGGGTATGTGATTTACAAACATGTTTCCCCATTCCATAGATTCTTTTCTTTTTCTCCATAGTCTCTTTTTAAAAAACTTCCTTTTTTAATGGGGGGTGGGGGAGGGGTACGTGCCCCTAGCAGTTTATTTAGGGACTCTCAATTTTATTTTGTTGATTTATATATCTACACATATGCTTGCACAGTACTACTCTGATTACTGTATGTTAGGGCTATATTTTGAAATCAGGAAGTGTGAATCCTCCAAATTTGTTTTTTATTTTCAGTGTTGTTTGGGTACTGGGGCCTCTTGCAATAGCATATTAATCTTATTATGAGCATTTCCATTTTTACCAAAAAAAAATTGCTGTTGGGATATTGTTATTACATTGAATCTGTAGATCACTTTTAGCTGTATGGCAGTGTTTAAATTATTAAGTCTTTCAATCCATAATCATAGGATGTCTTTTAAGTTATTTAGGGTTTTTGCATTCCTTTAGTAATATTCTGTAGTTTTCAGTGAACAAGACTTGAGTCTCCTTTGATAAATTTATTCCTAATATTTTGTTGAAGATTTTTGCATCTGTGCTCATATGAGTTATTGGTATGTAGTTTTCTTTTCTTTTGATATTTTTCTCTGGTATGGTTTTTAGAGTAATTGTGGCCTCAGTGAATTATTTAGTTAGTGTTCTTCTTCATTCTATTTTTTTAAAGGACTTTATAGGAATTTGTGTTCATGCTTCCTTAAATGGTTAGTAGAATTCGGGACTGGCCTTTTCATTTTGGAACATTTTGATTACATATGCAATCCCTTTACTTGTGACAGGTCTGTTCAGACTATCTAGGTCTTCTTCAGTTACTTTTGTAGTTTGTGGCTTTGCAGGAATTTGTTCATTTCATTCAGGTTATATAATTTGTTGTTGAATAATTTCTCACAGTTACTCTTGTATACCTTTATAAATTTAGATGATTGGTGTATATATCATTATTATGTACATAAAACATGTGTTATTATATATATATGGAATTATTTTGTATATATATAAGAATATTACAGATTACATTTGGTATACAGTGTAACATAACATACATAAAATATATCTATACATAAAAATGTCACTACAGCAAGAACTGCTGGCACAATTACTAATCTAACTCCCTTATGTAACTCCCACAACTCATAGAACTGTCCCTGGAGGTGATGGATCAAGGAGACAAGAATATCACCTTGAGTGTTAATCAGACAAAAATGCTGCTGAACTGGGATACGATGCAGGACTCAGGTGACTCTGGTAATGACTGAGATGGAAAGAAGGTCAATGGGGCTTCACAGTGGGACAAGACTGCCAAGGATGTGACAAAGAGAGAATTAAATATTAAAGGGAAGTATAGGCTATGGTGGATCAAAGAAAAGAGTGTATCCCAGGAGGAAGGGGGCCTGTTGGGCACCCTAAGATACCAATTTTGTTCTCCTCCTGCAGGCACTTCTGTGGTGGGCCTTGTCTCTTCTCCAGGGATGGGCAAGTTGCTGGCTGAGGCTCCCCTGTTTCTGGAAACTGAGGAACAGGTTGTTATGCATGAGACACACAAGGGCATGCTGCAGGGCATCTCTCCAGTCATGCTCTCAGACATCACATCCGTCTTTGTGAGCAATAAGAACACTCAGAACCTCAGCTCCCCAGTCACCTTTGTCTTCAAGCATGTGAGTCCTGGTGAAATGGAGCTGTGGGTGTGGAAAAACCCTGAGTCCTGGGCCAGCCTTGCTATTTTGGGACTCCCCCAGGGTGCATCACCTGTGCAGGACAGCCTTTCACAAGCAGGATTTGGGTTAGCATTTCTGAGCACCAAAACCAACAGCTCACACCTGTGCCCTCTTCCTACAGTCCATGACTCCTGGGCCAAGGCAGAAGGTGTTCTGTGTCTTCTGGGAGCATGGCCAGACAGAATATGGTAATTGGACCAACAAAGGCTGCTGGGTGGCATTCACCAGTGACTCTAGCACCACCTGCCAATGCACCCATCTCAGCAGCTTTGCCATCCTCATGGCCCACTATGATGTGCAGGTGAGAGCCTTGTGAAGGGACTTTGTTCAATTTATGTTGTTTTGTAATAAGTTCCCATACAAGTAGCCCCTTAAAATATAAATTTAGCCCTGGCCTGTTTGGCTCAGCATTTGGAGTGTCGGGCTGTGGTCCAGAGAGACCCGAGTTTGGTTCCCACTAAGGGCATGCACTTTAGTTGCAGTTTGTCCCCAGCCCTGGTTGGTCGTGTGGGTGGCAGCCACTTGATGTGTCCCTTTCACGTCAGTGTTTCTCTCTCTCTCTCTTTTCCTCTCTCTCCCTCCCACTCTATCTGAACAAAAAATGAAAAAATGTCCTTGGGTGAAGATAAAAATAAATAACTAAATAACTAACTAAATAAATTTAGTTCTTTGGGTTAACAAATAAACATAGTGTATTTGTATTGTCTGGTCAGGGTCCTACAAGTATTACAAGCCTCTCATCTAAGGATTACTGTCCTCCTAAGCTCTCTGGTGACTGGCAGAATTCAGTTCCTTGCTGTGATAGGGCTAAGGTCTTACTTTCTTGCTGGCTGGCAGAAGGGGTTACATTCAGTTTTGGATCTTTATCCATCTAAGAGTTAAATATAACATATAGGAAATTGTTGTCTTTTTTTATTGTCAATGAAATGGAACATCTTCATTTAAGAGTGATTTATTTTTCTGTCTCTGGAAGTAAGTTGCTTGCTTTTTAATCTATATTTTTATAGGCCTGTTGATACTTTACTTATAGATCTGGGAGCTCTTTATGTGGTAGAGGAATTTATATCATTACACAAAAAATACTCAAAACCTAGTATGCATCAAAATCACTTGGAGGGCTTGCTATTTATTTGTGAATACTTATTTAGGAAACAGTGTCAGTCTTACAGATTTGTTGCAACAATGAAAAAGTGTAAATAATACCAAATTGCTTTTTATCCAGATGCATCGGCTTTGAACATTTAATCTCCATTTTCTTTATCACTTTCACAGTTCTGCTTTTCTCTCTCTGCCTCTCAATTTCTCTCTCACCTACTTACACTAAAATTAAATTGTTTTTTGTTTTTAATTCTGCTAATGGATTTAAGATGATTTGAAAAAAAATAGGCAGGAAAAGCCTTAATCTTTAGGATGTCCGCCACTGGCCACCATGGAAGCTGGAGGAAAAATGCCAGTGGAGTGAATGGAATCTACACAGTTCATCTCCCAAGACCAAACTGGAATTACAACTAAAATAAAGACATAGCGTCAAAAAAAAAAAAAAAAAAAAAACACTGAAAAGCAGCTGGAAAGAACCCTTATACTCAGAAATAGAAAGAAGCAACAAATTGAGCCTGAGAGAAACTGCAGAGGCGCGAGAGGGCTAGCTGGGAGCCCGTAGACAGCACCTGAGTGTTGTTTCCTCTGTGAGCATTCAGTTCCCTGAAAGCCCAGAGCACTATATCAAGTTCATCCACTCACCTTAGGCTCCCGCAGAGAGAGGACAAAATGGACTGGAACTGTATGGAGACTCTGTGGCTCCTGGCTCAAGGAAAGCTGAAGGGAAGGATATAGGAAGTTTTATGCTGAATCACTCCCTCATGGCACAGTGAAAATCTTGCACCTTCCAGAGCCTTGGGGAGATGCAATAGCCCCTCCCTCAGGAATTTAATACCACCTGGCCTGGCCAGAGGAATGCAAATTGAGGCTCATTAACAGCTAGAGACTGCCAGCAAGCAAGAGCCCCATGTGCTGGAAAATCTCTTATCCTTTTCACCAGAGAGATTATCATTCAGCTGAGGACTACGAACCGAGGCTCATCAAGTAACTGAAAATAATAGCCTATAGGCAAAAACCAGAGGATAACTAAACCTTTGCTTGGCCTGCAAGTCAACCCAAGAAAGTAAGACTTGACAGTGCTATTTAACATGCGTCCTCCCACACCCATCCAAATCCAGTAGATGGAGCTGCAACCAGAGGGACACCAACACCCACAGGGAAAATTTGGCAGACTCCAAAAACCACTGAGACAGCCAAAATGGTAAAACAAAGAAACAAATCCCAAATGAAAGAACAAGAGAAATCTACAGAAGATGAGATCAATGAAATGGAATTAAGCAAGATATCAGAGGCAGAATTCAGAATAATGCTTGTCAGGAAGCTCAACAGCATGAGTAAAGATGTATAAGTTCAGGAAGAACAGAGAGTCCCAAATAAAAAGAACCCAAACAGGCCCACACCAAGACACATAATAACTAAAATGCCAAAAGTTAAAGATAAAGAGAAAACCCTAAAGACAGCAAGACATAAGCAACAGGATACCCACAAAGGAACCCCATCAGGCTATCAACCTACTTTTCAACAGAAACACTACAGGCCAGAAGGAAATGGCATGAAGTATTCAAGGTAATGAAAAGGAAAGATCTGAATCTAAGACTACTCTATCCAACAAGGCTGTCATTCAAAATAGATGGTAAAATAAAGAACTTCCCAGACAAAAAAAAGGCGGGGGGCAAGGAGCTAAGGGAACATATTAGCACCAAACCAGCACTACAAGAAATGTTATTAGGATGAGTGTAATAGGCAGAAGAAACAGGATGAGAAACATAACCACAATAAACAAAAATGGCAATAAATAAGTATATATCAATAATAACCTTAATGAAAATGGATTAAATGTTCCTATCAAGAGACACAGAGTAGGTGAATGGATATGAAAGCATGACTCATAAATATTTTGTTTACAAGAGACCAAACTCACAACAAACAACTCACATTGGTTGCAGGTAAAGGGATGGAAAAAAATCTTTCCAAACAAATGGAAAAGAAAAAACGCTGGGGTAGTGATATTCATATATGATAAAATAAACCTAAAATGTAGGCCATAACTAGACACAAAGAAGACCACTACATACTTTTGAAAGGATTAATCCAAGAGCACAATATGACCTTGGTAAACATATATGCACTCAATATAGAAACCTAAAATACATTTAAAAATATCGAGAGAACTTCAACAGAGAAATCAACAATAATATAATGATAGCAGAGTCTTCAACACCTTGATGACATCACTGGATAGATTCTCCAGAAAAAATATTACCAAGGAAACTGAGAAACTAAATCAAATGGATTTAATAGCTACAGAGAATTACACCTTGAAACTGCAGAATTAACATTCTTCTCAATTGCACATGAGACATTCTCAAACATAGACCACATTTTAAGACACAAACTAAGTCTCTACATGTTCAAAAAGACTGAAATCATACCAAGCAACTTCTCAGATCACAATGGCATGAAACTAGAAATCAATTACAATAAAAACATGCAAAAATATTCAAACACATGGACTCTAAACAGCATGTTATTAAACAGTGAATGGGTTACCAAGGAGATCAAGGAATAAATTAAAAACTTCCTGGAAACCAATGAAAATGAACACACAACAACACAAAATCTGTGGGACTCAGTGAAAACAGTCCTGAGAGGGAAGTTCATAGCACTCCAGGCCTACTTCAAGAAAGAAGAAACATTTCTAATTGATTTTCTAACCCTACAACTTGAAGAAGTATAAACTTAACAAGAAGAAAAACCCAGAGCAAGTAGAAGGAGAGAAATAGTAAAGGTCAAAGCAAAAATAAATGACATAGAAGCTAAAAAAAACAAAAAACAACAATGCGAAAGATCAATGAAACAAAGAGTTGGTTCTTTGAAAAAATAAACAAGTTTGATGGACCCTTAGCAGACTCATCAAGAAACAGAGAGAGGACCTAAACAAAGAAAATCAGAAACAAAAGAGAAGTAACAACTGACACCACCGAAGTACAAAGGATTGTTAAAGACTACTATGAACATTTATACACCAACAAATTGGACAATCTAGGTAAAATGGACAAATTTCTTGAATCACACACTCTTCCAAAATTGTACAGGAAAAGATAGAAAAATTGAACAGATCAATAACAATTAACAAAATTGGAGATATAATCAAGAAAATCACAGCAAACAAAAGCCTGGGCCCGATGGCTTTACGGGAAAGTTTTACTGAACACTCAAAGAAAAACTAAAACCAATTCTCTTCAAATTATTCCAAAAAAAATCCAAGAGAAAGGAAGACATCCAACCTCATTTTATGTGGCCAGCATAATTCTAGCTACAAAACCAGATAAAGACACAACAAAGAAAGAAAATTACAGACCAATATCTCTGATGAACACTGATGCCAAAAACCTTCACAAAATATTAGCAAATCGCATCCAGCAATCCATTAAAAAATTATTCACCATGACCAAGGGGGAGGCATCCCAGGGACACAAGGCTGGTACAATATTTGCAAATTTATATGTGAAACACCACAGAAACAAAATGATAGATAAAAACCAAGTGTTATATCAATAGATACTGAAAAAGTATTTGACAAAATCCAGCACCCATTTCTAATAATGTGAAAATAGAGGGATCATATCTCAATATAATATAGGCCATATATGAAAAACCAACAGCCAACATTATACTCAATAGGCAAAAACTAAAAGCATTTTCCTTCAGAACAGGAACAAGACAAGGATGCCCACTTTCGCTACTCTTATTTAACGTAGTACTGGCCGTCTTAGCCACAGCAGTCAGACAATAATGAAAACTAAAAGGAATCCAAATGGGAAAGGAGGAAATGAAATTGCCATTATTTGCAAATGACATGATATTGTACATAGAAAACCCTAAAGACTCCATCAAAAATCTACTTGATTTATTAAATGATTTTGCCAAGTAGCAGGATACAAAATTAACATTAAGAAATCAGTGGCATTCTTATACACCGATGTTAAACAGAAAGAAAGAAAAACAAAAAACAACCCAAAATGGAAAGGTAACCCACTGTATGGGAGAGCATAATTTCCAACTATACATCAGGTAATTTCCAAAATATAGAGAGTACTCCTACAACTCAACAAAAGGAAGACAAAGAACCCAATTAAAAAATGAGCAGAGGACCTAAATAGACACTTGTCCAAAACGGACATACAAATGGACAAGAGTCATGAAAAAATAGCTTAACATCACTAATTATCAAAGAGATCCAAAATAAAATGACTATGAGGCATCATCTTATACCTATCATAATGGCTGCCATCAACAAATCATAGAACAAGTGCTGGCAAGGGTGTGAAGAAAAGGGACTCTAGTACACTGCTGCTGGGAATGCAGACTGATGCAGCCACTATGGAAAACAATATGGTGCCTCCTCAAATAATTAAAAATTGAACTTCCATTTGACCCAGTGATCCCACTTCTAGGAATATATCCTAAGAAGCTGAAACACCAATTAGAAAGAATATATGCACCCCTATGTTCATAGCAGCATTATTTACAATTGCTAAGATCTGGAAACAGCCTAAGTGCCCATCAGTAGATAAATGGATAAAAAAGCATGGTACATATACACATTGGAATACTATGCAGCTGTAAGAAAGAAAGATCTTTTATTTTTTTAGATGACATGGAGGGACCTGGAAAGTATTATGCTAAGCGAAATAAGCCAAGCAGAGAAAGGCAAATATCACGTGATCTCAATTATTTATGGAATATAATCAACAAAATAAGTGGATGATCAAAATAGACCCAGAGACATTGAAGTAGGTTCAGACTGATAAACCTCAGAGGAGGTCGGCTAGGAAGAGATAAACCAAAGAACTTATATGCCTCTAAGCATAACTAGTAGACATAGACAACAATGCCAGGGGAGGGGCAGCAGTTGGGAAGAGGGTGACCATGAGGGAAAAAATATATAACAAAAGTAAACTAATTAATAAAAGTTATAAATTAAAAATTGGCAGGAAATATGAAGTTTATCTCCTACCATCATCAGAGTATAGTACTTTTCCTTAACCAAGGATCTAAATCTGTAAAGAGCAGGTGTTGCAGCCCTAAGGTATATCTGGGTGGGAGGGTTGATACTTGGACATTGAGTCTCCAGGTACAGACTCTGCCTCACAGCATCAGGTCACGGGCATGGAGGATGGTGCTCAACACAGAGCTGTGTGCTTCTGTGATGAACACATGATAACTTATAAGCTAAATCTTGTCCACAAGTCTAAAGAAAAATAAATCCTATGAATTATAGGGCTTGGTCTTGAGTGAGGAGTCTCCTATCGCTCAATTTTTCCAGGGTCTGAATTAATCAGTTTAGAATCCCATAAAGTTCTAACAGTATCCATAAACATCCCAAATACATGTAGATGCTCCATTCCTAATTTTGTTGTACCCACCAAAAAACTAAAACTGGTGGAAGAGTCATTAACTCAGAGCAGGAATGTGTGACTGATATCTCCTGTTTGCTGGGTCCCAGGAGGAGGATCCCGTCCTGGCTGTGATCACCTATGTGGGGCTGAGCCTCTCTCTGCTGTGCCTCTTCCTGGCAGCCCTCACCTTCCTGCTGTGCAAAGCCATCCAGAACACCAGCACCTCACTGCACCTGCAGCTCTCGCTCTGCCTCTTCCTGGCCCACCTGCTCTTCCTCACGGCCATCGACAGAACTGAGCTCAAGGTACTGACACTGTCCTGAAGGACCCCCACCCTGCCTGAGGGGATGCTGCATGTTAGGGCCCATGCTGCATTGGACCCCTTCATAAAACGGCCTCGGGTTCTGGGAAAATTTGAGGGGTGAGAGGCCAATTTCACATTGACTGGGTCACCAAATAGCAAGGTATAGGAGAGGTCCTGGCGGCATGCTCCACCCTGACTATTCCACCTGGTGACTCTCACTCCTCCTCCAGGTGCTGTGCGCCATCATCGCGGGCGCCTTACACTATCTCTACTTGGCCTCCTTCACCTGGATGCTACTGGAGGGCCTGCATCTCTTCCTCGCTGCACGCAACCTGACTGTGGTCAACTACTCCAGCATGAGCAAGTTCTTGAAAAAGTTCATGCTCCCTGTGGGCTATGGAGTTCCAGCTGTGATTGTGGCCATTTCTGCAGCTTCCAGGCCTCACCTTTATGGAACACCTACCCGGTAAGGGCATATTCCCATTTCTTTATCTTCTTCACCATCACCATGGCCTTTATAAATCCAATATAGCATTCAGATTATGTCAGATTATATTAATAGAGACAATAAGTGGTAATCCTTTGGACAATTTTTTGATGGCTATTTATAATAATTAAGAAGAATGTCTTTAAATGTCTCCTCAAAATAACAAAGGTATAGTGGGGAAAAAAAGGGGGTTTGGACATCATTATAAACAATTTAACTTACCTCTTTACCCAAATTGTACAGAATGTTCCAGTTATATTTGGAAAACTAGAGGTGATTTAAATAAGCTACAGAATAGATTGTGTCATAGTTGAGATTTACGTGGTGCTTATACTGTGCCAGGCACTTTTCTAACCATTAGTTAACACAATTCATCCTCACACCAATACTTTGAAGTAGATAGTGTGATTTGACCCATTTTACAGATAAGTAAATTGAGGCATAAATAGGTTAACTAAATGCCTAATGGTGCACAGGTAGTAAATAGCAGAGGTGGATCCAAATCAAGGGAGTCAAGTGTCAGAGTTTGAACTCTTTTATTTTTAGCTTTTTCTGCTAGTTTTAATGTTTTTAGTTATTCTTGAAATATATTGCACATATCATTAAAGTGTTTTTTCTTTTTCTTTTTTAATTAATTTATTTTTGTTACTGGTATTTCTTCTTTTTTCGCCATTGACACCCAACTTCTGATCCCCCCCATTGTTGTCTATATCCATTGGTTATGCTTATACGCATGTACGTTCTTTGGTTTATCTCTTCCCTCTCCCTGCCCCTCTTCTCTTAGGTTTGTAAGTCTGAAGTATGATGTTGGCTGTAGGTTTTTCATATATGGCCTTTATTATGTCGAGATATGATCCCTCTAATCACACAATACTGAGTGTTTTTATCTGAAATGGGTGCTGGATTTTGTCAAATGCTTTTTCAACATCTATTGATAAGATCGTATGGTTTTTATCTTTAATTTTGTTTATGTGGTATATCACATTTATTGATTTGCGAATATTTTACCAGCCCTGCATCCCTGGGGTGAATCCCCCTTGGACAGAGTGAATAATTTTTTAATGTATTTCTGGATCCGATTTGCTAATATTTTGTTAAAAATTTTGGCATTTGTGTTCATCAGAAATATTGGCCTGTAGGTTTCTTTGTTTGTAGTGTCTATCTGGTTTTGGAATTAGAATTATGCTGGCCTCATAAAACAAGTTTGGAATTCTTTCTTCTTTTTGAATTTTTTTGGAATAGTTTGAGGAGAAAGGGTGGTAGTTCTTGAATGTTCCGTAAGTAGTTCTTGAATGTTCCGTAAAACTCCCCAGTGAAGCTGACCGGGCCTGGGCTTTTGTTTGCTGAGAGAGTCTAAATTACATCTTCAATTTCCTTAGTTGTTATTGGTCTGTTGAAGTTGTCTATCTCTTTCTGGTTCAGTTTTGGGAGACTATGTGTTTCTAGAAATTTGTCCATGTCACTTAGATTGTTCAATTTGTTGCTGTAAAATTGTTCATAGTATTTATTAACGATCCTTTGTTTTATTTCTCTGGTGTCAGTTGTTACTTCTACTCTTTCACTTATGATTTTGTTTATTTGGGTTCTCTCTCTTTGTTTTTTGGTGAGTCTAGCTAAGGGTGAGTCCATCAAATTTTTTATCTTTTCAAAGAACCAGTTCTTTGTTTCATCGATCTTTTGAATTGTTGTTTTTTTTGTTGTTGTTGTTGTTTTTTTGGTCTCTTTATTGTTTATTTCTGCTCTGATCTTTACTATTTATCTCCTTCTACTTGCTGTGGAGTTTTCTTTTTGTTTGCTTTCTAGTTTTTAAGTTGTGAGGTTAGATAGTCGATTAGAAATTTTTCTTGTTTCTTGAGGTAGGCCTGTAGTGCTATGAACTTCCCTCTCAGAACTGCTTTCGCTGCATCCCATAAATTTTGTGTTGTTGTGTGTACATTTTCATTGGTTTCCAGAAAGTTTTTAATATCTTCATTGATCTCCTTGGTAACCCATTCATTGTTTAATAACATGCTATTTAGGCTCCATGTGTTCAAAGGTCTTTCTGAGTGTTTGTTGTAATTGATTTCTAGTTTCATGCCATTGTGATCTAAAAAGATGCTTAATATGTGCCTGTACCAGAGATCAAACCTGAAACCCTGGTGCACTAGGACCACACTCTAAGCAATTGAGCCACCAGGCCAGGGCCTCAGACATCCTTGTTGACACCACCTGAAATCACAGCCTTAGGCAGTTAGTGATGTAATTTACAGGAGTTCACTACTGTTTTGGCAATGCTCTAGGGGCAAGCTATTTTAGCCCTCGCTGAGATGAAGTTTCAGTCAAATCAAATACACACAAAATTTGGAGAACAAGGTGTTCCCAGAGGGCTAAAGGGACAGAAGAACAGACTGACTGTGCTCTGGGAATGATAATGGTGCTTTCAATGGAACTCCAAAAGTGGTCAGGTCTCTGTTGTCTGCAATGCTATCAGCATGGCTGCCTCACCACTAAGCTGGAGAAAGAAGAAAAGGAAATCATTCAGAGTTCAAACTTTGCAGAATCCTTTCTCATCAGTCTTATCAAGGTTCTCTTGTACAGACTCTTTTCAGTTTCTTCTGTGGCTCTGGGTAGTTGCCAGGGTATTGAAATGGTTGATTTTAGTTGTTTTGCTAATATTTTTGTTGTTTTAGGTGGAGAGCAAGCCTTCACTCTTCCACTCTGGAAGGCAGTGTCCAAGAACGTGCACCCTTAACCACAACGTGCTGCTGAAACTTCTGTTCACCTGTATTAACTAAGCTCTTCCAGGTGTCTGTCCTACTTGGACTCCTCAGTTCTTTCTTGCATACATTCTTCTCCGTGTATAGTTCACTGTTCTAAATGTCCTACTACCCTCTCCATTGTCCTGAAATGTCCTGACTTACTCTATACAGGGGTGGGCAAAAGAAGGTTTGCAGTTGTTTATATTGAAAATGATACAATATTTAATAAATAATGTGCAAGAATACACTCTGTTTTGGGTATGCACAACTGTAAACCTTCTTTTGCCAATTTCTGTACATTACCCTAATGCTGGATCAAGAGTGAATTCTGGTCCTGTTTATCATTAAAATCTTGAGCAATAGACAAGGCATTTTTGGTTCAGTTACCAACCTGTAATCATAAGAGAACTGGTTTGCACTGCTATTAAAATTAAACAAAATAACCCAACAGCAAAAGACAACCCAATTTAAAGATGGACGAAAGAGTCCTGGCCCGTGTGGCTCAGTTGGTAGAGTATCATCCAGTGAAAGGTCACTGGTTCAATTCTGGTCAGGGCACATGTCCAGGTTGCGGATTTCATCCCCGATCAGGTTACCTATGGGAAGAACTGATAGATGTTTCTCTCATACATGGATGTTTTCTCTCTCTCTCTCTCTCTCTCTCTCTCTCTCTCTCTCTCCTTCTTCCTTCTCTGTAATATCCGTAAAAAAAAAATATATGTATGTTTTAAAATGGACAAAACATTTAAATGGACATTTCTCCCAAGATATATAAATGACCAAAAAGTGCATGAAGTGATGCTCTATATTATTGGTCATTAGGAAAATGAAAGTAAAAAACATCAAAATGAGATGCCACTTCACAGCAACTCAGGTAAATTGTTAAAATAGAAGACAGGCCTGGTTGGAGTGTCATGCTGTGCACCAGAAAGTGGCAACTTTGATTCCTGGTCAGGACATTATCTTGATTGTGGGTTTGAGGCCCACCCAGGGCACCTGTGGGAGGAAGCCGATTGATGTTTCTCTCACATTAATGTCTGTCTGTCTGTCTGTCTGTCTCTCATTTTTCTCTCTCTCTAAAAATAAATAAAATTAATAATAAAAAGACAGAAATTAAAAAGTATTTGTGTTTGCAAGGATGTAGAAAAATTTGAACCCTTATACATTGCTACTTGCTATGAAAAATAGTGCAGCTTTTTTGGAAAACGGTTTGACTGTTTCTCAGGTGTTGAATGTATATAGCTACCCCATGATCCAGGAATTCCACTCCTAGGTAAATACTCAAGGCAAATGGAAACATATCCACACAAATACTTGTACGTTAATGCTCTTAGCAGCATTATTCAAAATAGCCCAAAATTGGAAACATCCTAAATGTCCATTAACTGATGAACAGATAAACCGAATGGCATATCTACACAATACAATATTATTTAGCCATATAAAAAGAATTTAAAAATATGCACCATAAAATATGCTGCAACATGGATAAACTTTGACTGAAAACATTATGCTAGGTAAAAGATCCAATCATAAAATGGTGCATATTGTATGATTCCCTTCATGTCCAGAATACGCAAATCCAGAGACAGAAAGTAGACTAATGGTGCCCTTTAGCTATGGTGGACAGTGAGATGCATGGATGCAGGAATAGGAGTGACTGCTAATGTGAATGAGTTTCTTCATGAGGAACTGAAAATGTTCTGATGTTACTTTGTAATGATGATTGCACAACTCTGAATATTTTAAAGGTCACTGAACTGCACAATTTAAATGGGTGCATTTTATGGCATATGAAATATCTCTCCAAAAAGCCATAGTGAAAAAGATTCAGTAGATGAGTTTTGCAGCAGATAAATATAAATAAATTAAAGAGTGCAAGAAAGACCCTTAAACCATGTTAGGTTCACAGAACTCTCAAAAACTGTTAACACATGTATAGACTTCTCCTTTGCTTCAACACAATGTCAGTAACATCCACTCTGCTCAAATCTCAGCTCAAATATAATTATCTTGTGAAACCTTCTGTAACCATCCTAATCCCTTAAACACAAAACTAAGCATGGCATTCAATGAAACATCTCTTAGCCCCCCATTTTTGTTGTGTTGTTGCAGTGTGTCTAACTGTGGATCTCCTACCTGAAGTGAGATGTGTGGGATTTAAGGCCATGTTTACTTTCTTCACAACCATGTCTTCAGAGCCAATTACAGGACCTATCACAGAAGAGACACTCAATATTTGTTGATGAATGAATTAAGAAATTAATTTACATAATTGTTGTATATTTCTAAGGACCAATGCATTTGTAATTCTCCCTCTTTCTTAGCTGCTGGCTCCGCCCAGAAAAGGGATTTATATGGGGCTTCCTTGGACCAGTCTGCGCCATCCTCGCTGTGAGTGACGACATCAGAGCATCCTTAACGCCCAGCTGAGGGTCATGAGAAGAGCAGAAGTATAAGGAGGGGAGGATGACCGAAGCAAGAATGTCCCTGGGTTATCTTGGGTTTGATTTGGTTTTCTAAGACTACTCCTAAAACTAAAAACGCTGACATTGTTACTAAACATGAAAACTACTTAACTGGAAATATTGTTGGGTAGGCTAGGCTAGAGACAACCCACTAAAATTGTATTTACTAAATCTTCTGTGGTTTCCTGAAGGTCAATCTATCTCTCTTTCTAATGACCCTCTGGATTTTGAGAAGCAAACTTTCTTCTCTCAACAGTGAAGTGTCCACCCTCCAGAATACAAGGTAAATGGAGAAGAGGCGGGCCACCCCATAGACATGCTCCCCAGAGAAAATACATAGGCCTCAGCAGCCCCTGATGTCCCTTCTCAGGTCTTCTGAGGGAACCCAGAGTAAGGAGATGCAGCTATCCTTCTACGGTGGACAGCTCAGATTCAGTGGTGGGCTGCTGTCTCCTAGCCAAAAAGTTCTGTCTCTAATCCCAGCTCGTAACTCCCTCAGTAATAGGAAGAACTGACACTGGTTGATTCACATTCTTTGAACTTTGTCAGCAGCCCTATGACAAAAGTACAAAGAACCTGTATGCACTTAGAAAAATCTGTGACTCCTCCCACAATGCAGTCTACGCTTTCACACCCACTTTCGGTTCAGGCTCCTTCTCTCCTCTCTGTTTCTCATTTCAGAAAAATAATTTATTATAGGAGGTGAGGGCAGTCCCTTGCTCCAGGAACCCTTGTGCTAATCTAATGCTCTTTCTTGTATGTTCCTATCAGTATCCTTTCTAAATTTTGCACTTCATTATCCTAATTATTTGGTTGTATTAGTCACTTGAATAGCCTGCAACCTTTGTAAAAATAGAAATCTTGCCTTTCTTACTTTTAATGCTCAGGCCCCAGCACGCAGCATAATGCACAGTACAGCCTATGTAACGTTGGTTGATTAATATTAGAGATCTCCATGGGCATGATACAATTTTTGAAACTTACATTATGGTGTCACGAATCTATTCAATTCAATAAAAATGCCATCCTGGACCCTAATAGCATTTCTGTTGTGGACAATCATTGACAGTAAAGTCCAATTTGAACACAATTTTGTCTGTGAACTCTTTTGCAACAAGGGCAGGCAGGAGCATCCACTGGGTGGAGATAAGAATGACCTTGATTCTGTTGTTCTGGGTGCATCATGGACCTCTCTTCTCCTCCTATCCAGGATGCTGACATTCAAAGCAATAGCTCAGCTCTTCATTTTGGGCTGCACATGGTGTCTGGGAATCCTACAGGTAGGGCCAGCTACTCACATCATGGCCTATCTCTTCACCATCATCAACAGCCTGCAGGGCGTCCTCATCTTCTTGGTGTACTGCCTCCTCAGCCAGCAGGTAAGTTACCACTGTCCAACTCCCACCCAGAACTCTTTCCATTCTCACTCCTCTCATTGAGCTGACTGGGAGTATGCTTTGCCTCTGCAGGTCCGGGAGCAGTACAAGAGATTGTTCAAAAGGGTCTGCAAAATCAAAGTGGAGTCTGAGCAGTACACCCTCTCCAGCAGTGTCATGCCTGAAGCTTCCTAGCCCAGAAGATGTACATACTTAAGTATTAAAGAGAAATAAGTATTAGCTAGCATTTTAGACTTTCTTTAGAAGAATGCCTGATATTTTCAGCACCCTCCACACTGCAAATCCAGGAAGAAAAAGACATAACTGTATGGGAATATTCAAGGCAATGATTACTAAGCACCACCAGTGGTTTAGATTTACAAAGTTCTTTTAAAATTGTTTTTAGACATAGAAAGTTCTTTTCCTTGTGGTTTCTCACCTCTTCCATCTTCCATTAAATCCCTTAAGTCTTTTTTCCTATTTAAAGGAGCCTACTAAGCTCCCTGGAAGTCCTACATTTCTTTCACCTGTTCACACAACCTTCACAAGCACGGGTTTCACTGTTGAATCTTCTATCTCCTCTCCATTTCTCAGCAAATATTCTTACCAACTATTTCACAGAGAAAATCCAAGTCATCGCAATGATTCTGTGAACTGCACCCATTCAACCACACCGAGGAACCATGACCATGCATCCTCTCCACATTGCCGTATCATTGACACTATTTTCCTTCTCTCTGAAGACAACACTTGCGCATCCACTTTGAATCCCATCATTCATGCCTTATCAATTATCTTTACATTATTGTTCACACATTCTCTCTCTCTCTCTCTCTCTCTCTCTCTCTCTCTCTCTTACTTCCTTCCCTTTCTTTCACCCTTTTCCCTTTTAACCTTCCCTCATCTTCTCAAAAGTATTCCTCCCAGAAGCACAGCAACATGTTTTGTTCTTTTCTTTATCTTGTACACATGTACCACTGGACCTGCCATTTCCTTCTAGCGACCAACTAAGAGTCGACTTTCTCTGTCTCCATTTCCTTGCCTTCAATTTATTCCCTCAGTTCATGTGTTTTGGATTCTTCTCCCCATCATTCCACCAAAGCAAATATCTCTTAGGTTTATAATGGTCTCTGTGTCCCTGAAGGATCTTCCAGAAACTTTTTACACTATTTATCACTATTTTCTCATGAAACACTCCATCCTTATCATTTCTAGATTCTACTTACTTGCCCCTCTCCATGCCTTTCTTCCATTATCTCTAGCTTTTCTCTCTTTGTTTCTTTTATAGCTTCAACCAATGGATTGGCTCCAGAAAAACAGGCAATTCTCATTAAATACTTTCTTCTTAGGTGATAGCATTCATTCCTTAGATTCAGTCACTGTATGGATGTAGATGATGGCCCCATGTTTCTCCAGCTCTGACCTCTCCTCTAGAGAGGAATATTTTCAGTTACCTGACATCTTTGGTATTTCCAAGACACCTTAAACTCAGCCTTCCAATGTATGACTCACAGTCTTTAGTCTAATCCCCTCCTTCTAAGTAGTGTCTTTCTTTCTCTGGATGGAACTACATCCATTGTGGAGCACAGGTTTGGAACCTGAATGTGACTCTCCACAATTTTCTCATTTTACAGCACCACCTCTCCACTATGCAATACTGTTGTTCTTGTCTTCGCAGTATGTCCCCAGTATGCCCAGCCGGCTCAGTCTCCAGCTCCCCGTCCTGAGCCAGGCTACCATCTTTACTTGCCTGAACCACTACAACATCCTCATGACTGACTACCCCTTTCTACCCTTGTCACCTTCCATTGCCTTGCTACATGTAGTCCAGGGGATCTTTACAAAGCACAAAGGAAAGCATGTCACTTAGTTTTAAATCTGTTACATGTACTTTTTCTCGCGTTCAGTTCTGAATAATATCCTGAGGCACAATGTCTATAAACATTTTAGTGAATTGATGGGTGATACTGTTAACCAAACCATCCAGGTTTCAAGTGTACAGCTCAATAAAACATCATCTGCACACAGCATCATGGGCCGATCACCCAAAGCAAAGTTCTGCCCCAGTTATCCCCCTGATGCCCACTTCCATCTCTCTGCACCCCCTTTCCCTCTCCCTATCACCATACTGTTCTTTCTGTCTGTGTCATATATATTTATTGTTTTGCTTAATCGCTTCACATTTTTAACCCTGCCCCCCAACTCTCCTCCCCTCACAACTGTCAGTGTGTTCTATGCATCTATGCTTCTGTTTATTTATTTTTTGTTAAATTATTATGTTCATTAGATTCCATATATAAGTGAGACCATATGGTATTTGTCTTTATCTGACCTTCTTATTTCACTTAGCATAATAATCTCCAAGTCCATCCATGGTGTTGCAAAAATAAGATTTCCTTCCTTTCTACAGCCAATTGTATTCTATTGTGTAACTGTACCAAAGCTTTTATCCACTCATCTACTGATGGGCATTGGGCTCTTTCCAGATCTTAGCTACTGTAAATAATGCTGGTATAAACATAGGGGTGCATATATTCTTTCCAATTAGTGCTTCGGGTTTCTTTAGATATATTCCCAGAAGTGGAATTGCTGGGTCATAAAGTGGTTGCATTTTTAATTAAATTTATTTTCTTTCAAACCTCACCCAAGTACATGCTGATAAAGAGAGGAAGGGAGAGCCCTGGCCGGTTTGGCTCAGCGATTAGAGCGTTGGCCTGCGGTCCAGAGAGAACCGGGTTCGGTTCCGGCTAAGGGCACGTACCTTGGTTGCAGTTTGTCCCCAGCCCTGGTTGGGTCATGAGGGTGGCAACCACTCGATGTGTCCCTTTCACGTCGATGTTTCTCTCTCTCTCCCCCACTCTATCTGAACAAAATATCAAAAAAAAGAGAGAGAGAGAGGAAGAGAGAGAGAGAGAGAGAGAGAGAGAGAGAGAATGAATGAGAATCTGCAACCCAGGTATGTGCCCTGACCATGAATCGAACCCACAACATTTTGATGTCTGGGACCACTGTCCAACCAATTCAGCCACACCAGCCAGGGTTTAGTTATATTTTTTGAGGCAACTCCATGCTGTTTTTCATGGTGGCTCTGCCATTTTTTCTCATTTGCTCTATGCACCAGTAGGGAAACATCAGCGGGCAGTGATTGTGAGCTAGTTCAAACCAGCATCTTTATTCTCAGTGCCTCCCAACATGTGGTGCTTTCCATTAGTGCTCATTCTCAGGCAGGTCAAAACCCAGTCTCCCACCCAGACCCTCCAAATGTTGGAATGTTGGAGGTACAATCCAGTCCTGTCCTTCCTTCCTCCCTCGGGGAGCTGGGTGCTTCCTCCTGACCGTGGTGCTGTTGCAGGGCAGGAGTTACTGCAAGAAAGTACCACACATTTTCCTACTGGCTTCAACGCAGCGGGTCTCAAGCTCAATATGGGTGCAGGAGCCTCTCAACTTATGTCTGGATTTTTCACAAAGCAAATTAACTCATGTGTTTTTGTTTAATTGATGTCTCCTTGAGGGGAAGGAAGTCTGGAGCCTCCTGTTCTGCCATCTTGCTGACATTACCCCTAATCTGCTCTCTTTGAGTAATGACGCCAGTTATATTGGGTTAGAGCTCACCCTACTATCCTTATTTTAACTTAACCCCTTTAAAAAGTCTTTGTCTAAATATAATCATGTTCTGAGGTACTGGTGGTTAGGATTTCACCTAATTTGGAGGGGATATAATTCAGCCAGTAACAATGAGACAACATGGATGGACCTCTAAAACATTATGCGAAGTAAAATAATTCAGACGCAATAGGTTTCATATTGCACAATTCTATTTATATGAAATATCCAGGGGTTGCCAGGGGCTGGGAGAGGGTAATGGGAAATGACTACCTAATGAGTCTTCTTTGGGGTGATGAAAATATTTTAGAACTAGATAGAAGGGATGGTTGCATATTGTAAGTGTACTAGATGCCACTGATCACATGCTTTAAAATGGTTTAATTCATATGTGCATTTCATATATTACCTAATACTGTGAATTTTATATTATGTGAAAGTATGTGTATTTTTGTGTGCATAAAGAGATAAAGCAATGTGGTAAAAGAATAATTGTTTAAAGATTCAGGGATGTTTCACCAAATTTTTTGTTAACTAAAATATTTTAAGTAAACATTTAGAAGAATGGAGGAGCCCTGGCCGGTTTGGCTGAGCGGTTAGAGCGTCGACCTGCGATCCTGAGAGACCCAGGTTCGGTTCCCGCTAAGGGCGCGTACCTCGGTTGCAGTTTGTCCCCGGCCCTGGTTGGTCGTGCGGGTGGCAGCCACTTGATGTGTTCCTTTCACATTGATGTTTCTCTCTCTCTCTCTCTCTGTTCCTCTCTCTCCCTCCCACTCTACCTGAACAAAAAATGGGAAAGTGTCCTCGGGTGAGGATAAAAAAAAAAAAAATTAGAAGAATGGAGGAAAGACTTTATGCTTAATTTTATTTATTTATTTTAGCCATTTCCGTTACTTTAGTCTTACCTCTTCCACAGACAAACCATGATGACTTGTCAGCATTAAAGAGGTGGTTAAGTTAATTCTAAAATCAATAAAAGTGAGTGATCAAAGAAAAGCAGGTGAAATCATATGGTTTTTATCCTTTTCTCACTGACTTATTTCACTTAGCATAGTACTCTCAGGATTGATGCTGTCACAATGGCAATATTCCGTCTTTTTAATAATAAAATAGTATTCCATTGTATATACCTAGCACCACTTCTCTTATTTTTAAAAAATTATTTTTATTAATTTGTTTTTGTTACAGATGTTTCTCATTTTTTCCACATTGACACCCTCCTCCCCATCCCCCCACCCCATCCCCAGCTTTGTTGTCTATGTCCATTGGTTATGCATACATGCATATAAGTTCTTAGGTTTATCTATTCCGCCCCAACATCCCCTCTTATGAGGTTTGTCAGTCTATACCATATCTCTATGACTCTGGGTCTATTTTGTACATTAGTTTGTTTAGTTCATTATATTCCACAAATAAGTCAGATCATATGATATTTGTTTTTCTCTGCTTGGCTTGTTTTGCTTAGCATAATACTCTCCAAGTCCCTCCATATCGTCTCAAAGGATAAGAGATATTTCTTTCTTACAGCTGCGTAGTATTCCATTGTGCATACATACTATAGCTTTTCTATTCACTCATCTACTGATGGGCATTTGGATTGTTTTTAGATCTTTGCTATTGTAAAGAGTGCTGCTATGAACCTAGGGGTAAATATATTCTTTCTGACTGGTGTTTCAGGCTTCACAGGGTATATTCCTAGAAGTAGGATCACTGGGTAAAATGGCAGTACAATTTTTAACTTTTTGAGGTAACACCATAGTGTTTTCCACAGTGGCGGCACCAGTCTGCATTCCCACGAGAAGTGTACTAGAGTCCCCTTTTCTCCACACCCTCGCCAACACTTGTTGTTTGATGATTTGTTGATGGTGGCCATTCTGGCAGGTGTGAGGTGACACCTCATAGTTGTTTTAATTTGCATCTCTCTGATGATTAGTGACATTGAGCATTTCTTTATATGTCTCTTGGCCATTTGTATGTCCTGTTTGGAGAGGTGTCCATTTAGTTCCTCTGCCCATTTTTTAATTGGGTTCTTTGTCTTCCTTTTGTTGAGTTGTATGAGCACTCTATATGTTTTGGAAATTAACCTCTTATCTGATGAATCATTGGCAATTATGGTCTCCCATATAGTAGGTTCCCTTTCCATTTTGATGACTGTTTCTTTTGCT